TATATTTTATAAATTTATTTATTTATTTATTTTTTGGCCGTGTTTGGTCTTCGCTGCTGCGTGCGGGCTTTCTCTAGTTGTGGAGAGCGGGGACTACTCTTCGTTGCAATGCAGGGGCTTCTCTTGTTGCAGAGCATGGGCTCTAGGCGCGCGGGCTTCAGTAGTTGTGGCACACGGGCTCTAGAGCGCAGGCTCAGTAGTTGTGGCGCACGGGCTTAGTTGCTCCGAGGCATGTGGGATCTTCCCGGGCCAGGGCTCAAACCCGTGTCCCCTGCATTGGCAGGCGGATTCTTAACCACTGCGCCACCAGGGAAGTCCGACCTGAAATATTTTGATATTTGTCTGTGCATGCCAGAAAATCATTTTAATATGGCTGTATCTGGGTTGGTTGTGTGGGGTGTGTGTTTTTTCAATAGTATGATGTTCTGGTTTTTTCCTCCAAATGAAGTGCTACCCTCTAAATTCATGGGATATCCTACCTAAAATTATAAGGCCTGGCAAGTCCAGCCACGAATAAAAAACAACCACAGAAGTCCTGGGCTACACGCTTTTTAGAATGTAGCTTTATTTATCCAAGGGTAAAGCAATATGGAAAACGTGGTTAGTGTTTTTCAGATTGTGGTGTATTTAATTTGTATTTATCATGGAGAAAACTTTTCTGGCAAATCTTAAATAATTGCGCCAAACAATGTTTGCATTTTGCATATCATTGTGACATGAGAGGAGAGAGCCAGTTGAATGGTTGGTATTACACGTTTGTAAGTATATTAACTTAGTAAATCGTTAGCTAGATTTACTTGCTTTAAGTATACGAAAGGGATTCTGCTGTCTACATTAGTGTGATTTGGAAGACAGATATTACTAGAAATTGTTTATGTGTTCTGAAGCCTCCCACGTCCTATTCAATAAATCATTTTGTCAGCTCAAACTCTTTGTGATTGATTAGAAAGAAGAATGCATCAAAATGATTCACGGAGAGGAGATTGTAATCTGACTATTTTACTGGAGTTATATATGATTCTGTTTATCACTTTCTCTTTTCTTCAGCAGAGAGACTAACGAGCTTTCTGTGGTTTTCTACCTTAAGTAAAAACATTGTCATATGGCATTCTTCCCCTTAGTGATATTATGGCACAAGGTTTAAGCTGATGAGATATCATTTAAATCCTAATGTAGGGAGGGTTTTTATATGATATGTGCTATAACTAGTGTGGGAAAACGAGCACTTTTCTGGCTAATGGCATTTGGCTTTTGTAGCAACAGCTCTGTACCCAGTAAAGCTAATACCCACTGGAATATTTTATTTCTTTTTTTAAACTATTCAAAAATATTTTTTAATGATTGAATGCTTCAGAAGTGAATATATAAAATCTAGTGACTGTAATCGTTCACTTCCTCTATGAATAGTATTCTGTCTAATAAGAATAGTCTTTAGATACAGAAGGTTCTTAGACTTCAGCCATTGCCCTTCATGTAAGAATGCAAACCATTCACCTCCCGTGGAAGTTCACACTCTCTAGAACCGTCAAATGAGAAAACATGGGCCGAATATGCAAATTGTCTTTCTAACTACAGCAGTATTCTTCTATAAGATAATCTTATTTTTAAAGAAAATTTAAGACAGCCATTTACTTCAGAGAGACACATTTATTTTCTGTGAATGTTATTCATATCTCAGTCGTCAATATGTTTCTTAGCCCCTTTAGAAAAATAGAAATGGTTTTGCTTTGTTGCTTATTTGTCGATTTTGTTGGAGTTTGTTGTTATTCAAGACTATAACATTCTTTCTGGAATATCAGTCTTTGAAAATTTTCAAAAAAATTATATGAGGCTGCAAAGTTTGATAGTAAGGAGAAAAGTGTCAGGCATATCTGAGTTCAATACCAATCTATTACTAAAGGGCCTGTGTCACTTTGAGAAAGTTACTTAGCTTTTCTAAACCTTGGTGTGTTTTTTCATTTTAAAATAGTTATAATAATAGTGTGTATTACTGTTGAGAGATTTGAGTGAAATAATGTGTTAGCTCAATGTCTTAAGTTATTGCCAGTACACGACG